TGGCCTCATTTTTTTTATGAGAAGAGTGAAGAGTTTATTATTGTTACCGAAAGATGTAAAACTGTTATCAAAAAAGAAAAAAGAATAAAATAGAAAAAGAAATGACTAATGTTTTACTTACTTATTTCCAATATGGAAACAAAATGTAGATAAGAATAAAGAAAAAGCTTTCGCAAACAAAGGGTGGGTGTGGGTGTGGGATGTGGGTGTGGGGTGTAGATGTGGGTGGGTGTGGGTGTGGATATGAGTGTGAGTGTGGGCGGGTGTAGGTGGGTATGGGTGGGTATGTAGATATCAATTTGCTTGCTCTCCAAGTCTCATCCACACGCTTTTTTTTGGATGCATTTGTTTAAAAGTAACCGGAGAGGGTGTGGATGCGCGCCGCAGTCCTGAAGAGAAAAACTCACACACCTACACTCACACCACATTCACACCCACACTGATCCACACCCACACCAACACCCCACGAACACCCACACCATGTCAGTACATAGGCCAGTACATGCCAGTACATGCCAGTACATGCAAATACATGAGAGTACATATTGGAGATCGAAAGTTCTGTCTTTTCGGAGTACAAAATGTACTCGTATTCGCACACCCCTTGATATATCTCATTCATTTGATCAATTAAATTACCATTTTGATAAACTTATTCAAAATATTCCATTAGATTAGAATTTTCAACTATTGAAAAAGTTAAAATTTAACCCTTTGGTTATGGACGATGCATATATGCATCGTGAGCTTGATCATCCTATGCAATGAATTCAATTGCTTATTATGTAGTTTTTTTAGATGCATTTGTTTAAAAGTAACCGGAGAGGGTGTGGGTGTGGGCGGCAGTCCTGAAGAGAAAAACTCACACACCTACACTCACACCACATTCACACCCACACTCCTCCACACCCACACTTCTTGTAATACTAATGCCTTCTCTGAGCATTGAGCCCCTAACTCATCATTTTTACAGCATTCCAATAGAACACTCTTTTCTGTCTTTGTTGTAAGTCAGTATCTTCCTGTTGTGTGCGCAAAACAGGACACAAGGTTTTCTCTCCACTAGTCGTATAGAAGCTTATCATGGAGAGTGCATGTACATAAGAATCTCTTCTTCTAGTGTGATATCTTTAATAAATATTTGTGTTTCTTATCAGGTTCTCCATGATGTAAGTATCTTTTAAATATATGTCAGCTCACATTGTTATAAATATTGTATTCCCTGAAAACTGAAGAATTTTTCTCGATTGTGTGTTTTTAAAAAATTCAGGTATGTAATTTCAGACGACAAATACGATAATAAAATCAGTTTTCGCGAAGCACAATGAGCTTTTCATCGTTCATAGTGACTATCAATCTGATCGTTTAAGTGTAACATTGTTCAGAATTATCGACTCACAGCCGTGAGTAGTAGTCGTTATAAGATTGAGATGTATCTTCAGTTCACATCTTCGTCAAACGAGTAAAGAAGGGTGTGGGTATGGGTGTGGGTGGGTGTGGGTGTGGGTGTGGGTGTGGGTGTAGGTGAGGATGTGGATGTGGGTATGAGTTTTCTCTTTTCCCACATCCCACACCCACGCCCACACCCCACACCCACACCCACCCACACCCACACCCACCCACACCCACACCCGTAAAGCAATATCTAGAGCTCCGGGTTGTTTTCCTTTGTAGGGCTACTCAATTTGTATCTATCCTGAAATTTTTACCATTGTATATCGTCTCAATCAAAAATGGCAGACTTAGTAGTAGACACGGGGTAGATCAGCACCTTCATCTGAAGGAGACCGACCTAAAATCGAAAACTGAATTTCTCAATGAGGATTAGAGCTATCGGAGTGCGCTTAGTGGCAAAAAACCCGCTAGTTGGTAGACTTTTGAAATATGTATTTAAAATTGAAATTTGAAAAAGTCGATTGAGCAGCTCCTTTAGTAAAAGGTCGTGGCTTAAGTGAGATGACACATATAAAAAAATTGATAAATAAAATAATGAGAAAGCGTAAGACTTTACCTGGTTGGTGTAAATATGAATATTGCTTACTGAGTGCATATCTAGTGAACTAGTGAGAAGAGTAGTATAATGAGCATTTTCGAACCATGAAAATCTCAATTAAATTAATTATTTTTCTTTTACTGACGATAAAACAGTTTCATCGATCACTGATAAAATTTAACTCTAAAAACTATTTCTCATTTTCCATACATTTGTTTACAAATATAGGAGTCTATTATAGCAATAAGTAATTTTCCCTTTTTGTAATGAGTCTTTTTTTCTTCAAAATCTCCTAATTAAAACATTGATTCAACATAGTTTAATATGACATATTGTCTATCACATCATAACTTCATTTAATGATTTTCAAGGTTAAGGAAGACTAATAGTAGCATTGTATATTTACCAGTCTGGACAACATACTTCGATCAAACGTAGATCCATAGCTGTTGTTAATGTTTTACCATTTAACAACGAGTATAAAAATTAGTATTCTCAAAATGTGTTTGACCCAATTCAACTTCATGTTTTTCATGGATATATTTGATTTCTGTATATTTATTTTTATCCCACATCTCAACGTAATGTAATCATTATCGTTATAGTATTATGAAATTCAATCAGAAGAACAGATACTTCACTAGAAATATTCTATGTGTTTGATTTTAAGCATTCGATAATGAAATGTAAGAAGTCTTTTTGAATATATAAATAGTCACTTGACTGCACCATAATGATATTGTGTATTCAGCTAAAGCATTATTTGTCTGTGGTATATTGTGATTAAATAATACATTCATAGAAATCAAGCACATAATCAAGTCGATAAATAATTGTAATCATTGAACCCTGTTACTATTAAATTCCATAGTTTAACTCGTTTTTATGAAAATTCCCAAGTGTTACCAAGGGAAGTATAGTCATAACTAAAATGTGATATGAGTAAATAATAAATAAGATTAATAGATTAGTAAAACTATACACGATTACTTCAAACTAAAAAAAATCTAGAAATGATTCTATGCATGAAACGTGGCTTTGGCATCATGAAAATGATTCGAAGAAATCAAATATTCATATTAATAAATTTTTTAAATAATTGATTTTGAACTGATATTTGATCCATATTCATCTTCCAAATAAATAAACCAAAATAAATATATTCGTCTGCAGATCATGTCGATATCCATATCTACATTCATTAACACACGAATCAGCATAGTTTAAGACGATAGAAATGTAAGCTAAAGCAGTGTGTAAGAATACAGAACATGTTACATCCTGCAGTATGCATGATATTTTATTTAAAAACAAAAATTTCCAAAATTAGTATATATTACGTAATTAGTGTAGGCGTGTGAATTGAAATAATTTGTAGCCTGCACCCTACCCTTCGAACATAAGTCATGTACTTACGAAAATTCTAAGGAAAGACTCAAGACACCGTGATTCACTCAATAGTGATCATTAGTTCGTTTCTAAGAATGCTTGAAGCGGCAACACTGATTCGAGCTCCTATGGAACAGTCATTTTCATTAATATGCATAAACCTTAGACGTAGTTAGGGATTGCAAATCAACTATTACTGTGTTCTCAAAATATCGCAGTTTCTTATACTTTTGAAAAATCGAATAAATGATCAGTCTATTATGATTGGAAAACAACGGCCCAACGAAGATATCAGCAACCACGTCTTATCACCGTTGTACAAAAGAAACTTTCATTTTGTAAAAACAATATGTCAAACTATGCATGAATAGAAATTAAAGGAGTATGAATGAAAAGATAAACAAATAATAGCATACAAAGAATAGATAAGTGAATGAACAATTCACCAAAATGAATAAGAACATTAATAGGAATCATAGAAAGATAAAATAGAACTGAAAAGAAAAGAGAACGAGGATAAAAATGTCATAATGTCAAAACTATTCAGAACTGGAATACTTGATATAATAAATTATGCTTAAATGATGATTGGTCATGGCATTTTAAGTTTTATGGGAATCTATTGTTTTATTATAATGTCTATGACAAAAACTTTGAATCTATTTTTTTCTTGCTTTTTCATGGGGGAATGCTATCATACGTATGTTGTAAAATTGCTTTTACGATTCGTTACTACACGATGACAGAAAGAAAAAAAGAAATGAAATATTCTGAAACTTGATGCATATCCTATTTATTCATCTACTCTAAGTAAGTCTAGCAGATGCAAAGAAGAAATACAAAAATATCTGCATCATTACCATAAATATAAAGGTTTCACCAATTCAAAGAGAAATCGACAAGCAAACAAATTAGTTAGAGATATATTATGTGATAAGAATATTAGTGATCTAATAAAACAAATCTTCATGTTCAACTGATGAAGATTCCAATTTTTAATGCATTAATAAGCAAAAAAATGATCACAGAAAAAAATATTTTTTCCCTGAAAACAGAAAATTTTTGAGAAATTAATTTTTAAATTTAAACCTGCATGATAATATTTTCGATGAAGTCGTTTTATTAGAAGACCTGTACTGAATGGAGTTTAGGTCTGGAAGGTTCAACGTGATCGGATTTGTCCATACACCTACAAGCATTACTCCATTTGGTTGCATTCAATCTTTTAAACACGTTGCAACTAGTAAAATCAATAGCAAGAATAACTATACAAAAAACAGTAACATGTTTTTGCAGATTAAAGATTGTTGAATACATTTAAAACATCTTGATGACGCCATTTTTATGATAGTATTTGGTTTCGATACGCTTATCATCAAGTCTTATCGATTACAATATATTTTGTTTTCTGCTAATCTCTACGTGAGTAATAAAACTTTCGTCATTGGTCGAACTGACGTTATCATCACGACTATGTGGCGAAAGATGTGAGTCATGAACAAACAGAAAAAAACCCAGACGAGATATTCTATTTTCCAGCATTTATATAGGCTAGCGTACTTTTCAGTGTAATAAGTATCATTTTCCGATTTTTTGTATTTCTCTTTAACAAATCAAAATGAATACGAATGATAATACACAAGTCAAAAATGCTCAATTATTTAAAACACGTGTGAATCGAATTCCAAATGATGAAATGGCAAAGGTGATGAAAAATCCATGGGATCCTTTACACTCTTCGGATTGGGATGAATGTATTCCAACTGCTATTTGTTTAAGAAGAATTCAACGGTAGATTTTTAATTTTAAATAAAATACTTGACATAAAAATTTCTTTGATTAGTGAAATTTCTTTCATTTTGAAAGATTCCCCACCGGGAATATTTATTGATCCTGATCCTGATAATATTACAAAGGTAAACAATTATTTTGTAGATCTCACGCATATTTCCTTAAGAAATAATGAATGTAAATTGTTCTTCTTTTCCTTTTTACAAGCGTACAGCTAAAGATAGCGTACGATTTTCGAACTAGAAGAGATTTTTTTTCAAAGTTCTTTGTCTTTTCGTTCTAGATTCATGCTCTTATCGTCGGTCCATCTGATACACCATATGAAAACAGATTCTTTTATTTTATAATACGTTGTCCACCTGATTAGTACGTTTAAAGAAATTGAAAATTAAAACAAATATTTTTTTTCATTCTAGTCCATTTCAACCTCCTCGCTGTCGTTTCATGACAACTGCAAATAATACAGTTCGTTTGAATCCAAATCTTTATCAAAATGGCAAAGTTTGTGTATCGATTCTCGGGTAATTTTTTTCGATTGCTTATCTATTTTATTGTTGTTAATTTGTACGTTGTAAGTACTATGACTGGACCATCATGGGCTGCAGGTCTAACCTTGGAATCCGTAATTCTTTCGATTCAATCGTTGTTATCCGAAAATCCATACCACAATGCACCAGGTTTTACCAAAGTAAAACAAAGACAACGAAAATTTCAATATATCTCTTGTAAAAATTTTGTATTGAAAAACAAAAATAGGAACGTCGATTAGGTGATTCGAAAGCCTATAAAGAAATGTTACAACACGAAACACTCCGTGTTGCTGTCTGTGAAATGCTTGAAACTACTAATTCAGTGCCGCAACAATTACGGTAAATTTTAGAATTTATAAACTGAAGAAAACAATTATTTTTATTTTAGTGAAATTATGATAAAGCAATTTTTGAAGTTCTACGATTATTATATTCATGTATGTAAAAAAAATACAGATAAAGATGGTCAACAAATGATGGTATGTTAGAAAACAAAGAAAGAAAAAGAATATTTATTTACTATTTGTGTTTGTATAAAGGATCCATTTAGTAAAAATTGTGGTTTATTTCAATATTCATCAATACTAACGCGTTTGCAACAGTTAAAAAGTGAACTAGAAAGTAACAAATGCTACAGTGAAGAACAGCAGCAGGTCGATTTAGATATTAATAAAAATATGGGCTCTTCGGTTAATATTGCTTTAAATAGACCATCGGATTGTGCAATAGTCGCAGATGAAAAAGTTTCTGATAATGAAGGAAAAGTGAAGCATGATCAAGATGAAGTAAAAGAAGAACATGGCAATGATATTCAATCACTAAATCTATCGGAAAACAGACTGACCTATCTATGTTGAGAAAAAGATAAATACAATCTGCTTGCACTCCACGTTCGCTGATGAATTTCAAAATAAAAAAAAATTTTATTGTGACTTGTGCTAAAAAAATCAATTTTAAGAAATACAGATTTTAATTTGCCAAGACGTTTCATGTTGTTTATTAAAATAATGAAACACTCATGAGAGCTCTGCATTTGATGTTAAGGCATATGATATAGCAAAAAAAAAAGATAATGTTAAAAATACGTATAACACACATACACGACCAAAAAAAAACAAGAAAAGAAACAGGCAAAAATCAGAGAGAAAGAAGACCAGAAAAAAAACACACATGAAAAGAAACCATTTAATTTTTCGATAAAAACACCGAACAAGCAAAAAACATATAATTTTAAAAGAAGACGATCTTCACTGGAATCATCTACATTTATGTATTGTTGTAGAATTCATTGAAATACAGTTTTTTAACACCTTTTAACGGTATTTCAATATAATTATAACTATTGCATCCATACATTTGGAATAGCAATGGGTGTGGGGTGTGGGTGTTGATGTGCATCCTGTCTTGCATACAGACATCCACACCCACACTCCCATTTAAAGTCAAATTAGACACCTATTTCAATGTGATGATCTTTATTCCTCTTGTTCACGTCGATTCTTCTAATTCTTTATTAGTACGGTATTCTTATGTGAATCCCATATTTTACGCTCAACAGAAGCTGTATTGACAAAGTTTTTGTGAAACATGATTGGAAATGAATATTCAATTAAAATATGATCGGTTGTGTTTTTGGTATGTTTAGTTAATCATTTCCTACTCGATATACGCAGAACGTAAGAAAAAAAAATTCTCTCAGCAAATACTATTGATCCAGAAGACATTTTATGATCAATAAAATCAAACGAAAAAGGTAGTAGCTGGTTTGTCAGTAAACATAAGACTCAGACCAAATCCAGCTGAAATAGGAAATAGAGTAATCTACTTATGTGCGAGTCATAGTTCCTGCCACTCATAAATTTTTTGACTAATTATTCGTTCAAGAGGTCCATGCTTGATGTTTCAAACCCGAAAAATGTATTGTTTTATGATTTTTCCAATGTGGACTGAGTTCAGTTTTTATGAAAATATGCATATACATCTTGCAGAACTAAAACTAACTCAACGATTCTATCGACTCGAAAATTCACAATCCTTCTCACATGGGCCTGTAACTCAGCGGTAGAGTGTTCGCTTTGCATGCGAAAAGTCTTGGGTTCAAATCCCAACTGGTCCAGTCTTTTTGAAATTTATAATTTTTTTTTCTAAAAATACACCAAACATGTCTAATTTGTTTGTTTGAATTGTATTTGCAACGGTTGCGATCGAATACATGGGATCAAATGTCAGCCACCTAGTAAATCTTTTACTTTACTTGCATTCTATCATTCATTATTCGTTTCCATAATAAATCATTTGGCTATTATGATAATTTAAACTTCTTCATTCAATCAAATTTTCAAATGTTTCTTTTAGCCTCCATCAATTGACATCAGTGAAGGAAATTTCACAATACAAAATTCTTACCATAACATTCATATTTGATTGTTTTTGTGTGTTTAGCGTCTGGATGAATTTTATTCTAAACAATGCCAAATACTTCTCCTTGAGGTAAAGAATCGATTTTTTTACTCTTTCAACTAATCTTTTCTCTGTCGAAGCAAATATCATTCAGTGCACACTCCTTTCGCTTATCGACGGGATGTGGGCGTTTATGTACTCTTCACACACCCACACCCTCACATGGACCCAGACTGAGAAATTTGGTTTGCCAAATAAGCTAGTTTTGACCCTTGGTTGGCTGGTATCTCGCCTAAACATCATGGTATCGGGCTGAAAATTTTACCATAGCCTTCCTACACTAACCCCAACATATCCTGAAAGTTTCATGTCATTTGAATGTTCCTGGACTGAGATCGATTTTTGAGGGGGGAGGGAGAGGGAGGCCTTAAATCAACTCTAGATCCCAAAAACTCTATTGGGTGGTGACGTTTCGAATCGGGTCGAGCCCACTGCGTATAGGTCGATTTTGTAAACCTATCTAGTTTTTCTATGTAAATAATAAAGGCAAGTATTTTACCTCATTCGACTCATCATGTCATCAGTCACAAAAGTACAATCGGTTTATTTTCTCTTTCCTTTCCAATGTTGCGAAAACTCGTTTTTACCAACATCATACTCATTTTAGGCGGTATTCAGCGATTTTTGAATTCAAGAACATCTTTTAATCGCAAACTAAATACGTTTTGTGAATCAGCACAAAAAACTGAGTCAAATGAAGTATTTTTCAAGTTAATTTGACAACTTTCATTTTTTCTCATTTTTTTAGGTATCATCGAAGGACTCAAATCGTGTATACGAGTCAAAACATGAAAGTTGTCAAATTAACTTGAAAGACATTTCATTTGACTCAGTTTTTTGTGCTGATTTAGAATACGTCTTTAGTTTGTGACCAAAAGTGTTATTTGAATTGGAAAATCGCTGAATACTGCCTAAAATGCCTATAGTACCAATAAAAACAATTTTTCTCGACGCAGGAAAGGAAAGAGAAAAAAACCGGATCGTACTTTTATGACTGGTGGTATGATGAGTCGAATAAGATAAAATATTTCATTTCATCACTTATGTGAAAAAATTAGATCGGTTTACAAAATCGACCTATACGTAGTGGACTCGACGAGATTCGAAGTGTTAGAGTGCATACACCTCGATTCTTTATTCTCTCTCTGTTTTCATTCTTTTCTTTCATATGATATATGTGTTCACTGATATCTTATGATATCATCTCATTTCTTTTCTGACCTTGGTTAACCCTTGTATTCCTTTTTCTTTTGTTCGCGTCGCTTATATATATATATATCGATGTTTTTCTATAAATAAACGAGCCGGTATAAACCGAAACATCGCTCCACGTATATCACGTTAACACGAAGCGCCACCACCAATAGAGTGTGGGGTCTGAAATCAATTTAACAACTTTTTTTATATTCAGTTTTTGATGGTGAATCTGAAAAAATTCTTTTCAGAAGCTGAAAAAAAGAGCGAAGTAGAAAATTTTGCTTATTTCGTAATTTTTGCGATCGGAAGGAAGCATTTACTAAGGCTAAAAAGTAAATATTTGTGATCAGCAGCTGATGACCCACCAAATGGTGTAAAGAGCACGTAAAACAATTTTTTTTCACTGAAAGTTTAAATTGCTTGCACTTTACAAAGCGCACTATTTGATCATTCTATTATTATACAAAATCGACAAGAAGCGATTGTTGAAAAGTAAAAATTGAGAATAACAGATTGATTTGTATTTAAGCGTATACAAGTCAGTCTGTTTTCAATTGATTTCAATTGATTGACATGTTTGTCTTCGACCTTTCTTATTTTTCAGCATGTTTATTTTTGGACTAAATTCAAGTTTACAGTTTCGATTCTCTTTGTTATCGTTATCTTGTCCCTTCGTCCTTCTATTTTACGCATTATCCTACCCTCTCTTTTATCTCTCGTAAGCATCGATGGACGAAACGAATAAAAACACATTCTCACAAAATAAAAAACTAAAATAAAATAGATAATAGAAGTGCTGCAGGAGATAGAAGATCCAAAACAATTCAAAAAAAGCGAATCTTTCGAGTATATACTTTGTCGTACTTTGTTATTCAGTTTCATCAGTGTATTTCAAGAAGAATATTATTCAAACATTTCAATTTTAAAAAAAAATGCTTAATTATCGTCCTTATCTATTTCCATTTGTTCTATTTCTTCTACAAATGGTTTTTATATTTCTCCTTGGTTTTTACAGCCAATATGAATATTATCCAATTTCAAATGTAACAGATTTTGAAAATCCACCTCGTGGTCTTGTGGAATTTTATTATTCAATGTTTACTGATATACATGTAATGATGTTTATTGGTTTTGGATTTTTAATGACTTTCTTAAGTCATTATTCATATTCAGCTATTGGATTTAATTTTATATTATGTGCTTTTACAGTTGAATGGGCTTTAATTATGCGTGGTTTTATATTTGATTGGGATGCTTCGAAGCAAAAATTTCTAATTGATGTAGAAAGTTTATCAACAGCTGATTTTGTTTCGGCTAGTATACTTATTTCAATGGGAGCAGTCTTAGGACAAGTTAGTCCACTTCAATTAATATTAATGGCATTTTTTGAAGTTCCTATACAAGTTGTTAATGAATGGATTGGTACACATTTCTTTTGTGCAAATGATGCTGGAGAATCAATGTTTGTACATGTATTTGGTAAGAAAAAAAATTGGATGATTTGTGTTTTAAGAAAACTATTTTTTTTTCATTAGGAGCATATTTTGGTTTAGCTGTTGCTTTTGTTTTATTTCGTTCGAATATTCTTGATTCTCCACTTGAAAAATCCCGTTATACATCAGATTTATTTTCTATAATTGGTACAATGTTTCTTTTTTGTTTTTGGCCATCATTTAATGCTGGTACGACACATGGTGTTGAACGACTTCATGCAATTACTAATACATATGTATCTATATGTGCATCAGTTATCGGTGCTTTTCTTATGTCAACAATTGTTCGAAAAGGTAAATTGGATATGGTACATATTCAAAATTCCACATTAGCTGGTGGAGTTGCTATAGGAACTGTAGCTACATCAGATATTGGTTTTCATGGTGCTATGATTATTGGTACACTTGCTGGTATGATATCTGTTTTAGGTTTTCATTCTCTCTTACCTAAGTTGCAACGTATACATGTTCATGATACATGCGGAGTAAATAATTTACATGGAATGCCTGGTTTAATGGCTGCTATTGCAGGAATTATTATAGCTTTCTTTGGAAACCGATCAGGCTATTTAAATCATTTAACAGATGTTTGTCTTACTGGTGGAAAAAAACGAACTAATAATATTCAATCAGCTTATCAAGTAGCTGCACTTTTATTAACATTATGTATGGGTGTTGTTGGTGGATTGATTACAGGTTCAATATTACGATTACCAATATTTGTTCAAAAATATGAAAATTTTGAAGATGAACCAATTTGGCATTTACCTGATGAGGGTCAAACTGATGATGCTGGTAGTTTGAATAAAAATTTGGACCGACGATTTAGTGTAATACCCACTGCTAATTTGAATAAAAATTTACAAAAACGATTTAGTATTTTTCCAGCATGAAAAGTATCGAACTAACATCTATCTTATTGTGTGTGTTTAGTTAGACTGAAGCTGAAATATTTTTATATTTAGTTAAAACAAATTTGATTTTTTTTTCTTATCTATTATGATGTAAATAAACAGATGGTGTGAAAAAAATCTTTCTTTCTATTAATATTTAAATCTGCATTCCTAAAAAAACATAATCTGATAGTATGATTTTCTAGAATAACAATCGCAACAGACAGATAAAATGTGGGTGTGGGTGTTGATGTACATCCTCTCTTGCATACAGACATCTACACCCATATCCCACGCACACCTCAAATTAACCTTTTGCACTTGTTTTGATTTTACTCTCTAGACATCTTACATCCAAACATCAGGATGTGGGTGTGGGGTGTGGGTGCAAAGAATATTGATACACAAACTCACACGCACACGCATACCCACACCCACACCCATCATGATCCATCTTTCAAAAAAAGAATTGGCTCTCTACAATGGTTCTGCAGTGAGATACAGAAGAAATAAAATTGATGCAAAACTTTATCACCGCTCTTTATTTTAATATTTCATGATCAAAGGTTATCGACAAGAAAAAAGTTTATTTTTGCTATTCATTTTCTTCTGATAGCGTTCATTATTATTTATTGCTTTATATATTATTGTCATAAGTTGTTCATCTTGTCAAAATATTGACACATTTTCACAAGAATGATGTTCAATCTCTTGTTATTATATTACTAGTCAATTTAATACATATTTCACAGTGTCTAATTCTTTCTTGCCAATTTGTTATATTTTTATCTTCAGTATTTCATTATACATACGTGTAATTAGATGAAAATAACGTCTTGAATAACGTATAAGATTAGCGTAAATGTCAAAAAATGTTTGTTGAACTTGTTATGATTTCTATTGTTCTTCTTATATTTGATATATCAGCAGCAGATTTATCTCTTGCCATTTTACTGGAAATGAAATATTATACAACTATTCATTCTCACTTGCATATTTATTTATCTTTTGCTTACTTTATTTTGCCTTTTTATGCCTATGTCTTTCGCATTTCTTGAATCAGTAGCTGAAATACAGAAGAAAATAAAAAGAATATTTAGTTGGGATGCATCTACAAATGCAATAGTTCCAGCAAATTTTCAAATACATCGATTATCGATAGTATGTATTGTATAGGAGTAAGAGTATTTATGATGTTTATAATCAGCATCAACTAGTATACATACAAGGATATTTAGAAAGTGACATGATCGAATTAGAATCTTGTTTCTTATCAATGTTATCAAGAAGACATTCACTTTAAAAATAAATATAAAATAATGAGAACATCTCTATTATTATGAACATGCTCGAAAGACTATACATTAATCGAGAACATATTTTGTCAAATATTATTTGAACGTTAAAAAACAAATTTAATATTTAACTGCCACTTACTTAATAATCGAAATCGTTCTTGTCATTTGCATTCAATAATTTGTATTGAATTAACATGATATCCTCCTATACAGGGTGATGTGCAATTTTCTAAAAAGGATTGACAATTTTTAAGTCTATTCTTATTCAAATCAAATAAAAATGACTTTTGTAATTGTTAGACATATGTTATTAATTATCCGATTCACTAATCAAATTACTATGTATGTTTTAGTCTCAAAACGTAGAACAAAACGTCTAAATTATTGGATGATATATCATAACTAACAAAATGCTTACTTAATTAAGATGACATTATTTATTCAATCAAATTTTATCAACTGATCAACCTATTAATGCGATGTGAAGCATAGCATTTATGTAGTCCTTCGTGAGTTTTTAAGGTGCGAAGCACTGTAAAGTAATCGTTCGCAATCTTTTCTTGTTCAAATGTTACTAGAAAGCTCTATATTTGTATATGATCAATTTTTTTTTCGATACTTCAATACGAAGTTCCATTTTTTTCGAGATGATAAAAACGAGGCTAGTGGTCACAAGATAATGAAAACGAGTTTCAATATCAACAATGATTCGATCGAATATAGTTGTTATCTTTGGAAGTTTTCGTTTTATCGATGATCGGTAATCAATATTTATAATAACTATGAAGAAAACAAATAAAAAAAAAGACCAATAACACTGCTTTTTTATTCTAATATATGATTTAATTAAAAATCAAAATCTTAGTATAAGTATAAGATGAGTTATATAAAGTAAGTTTTATCATTGTCATTTATCATTTTGTAATGAAAATAAAGACACAATCGATAGATTTTGTTTTGTATTTTCATGTAATTTTGAAGTTATTCATAGAAGATCAATGAAGACATGTATTCGTATACAGAATTTAATTTATTCGCATTTGATATTAAAAAATAAAAACAAATAAAAACAAATAGAAAAAAAAATATTCATTTTTTTACAATCTCATTTAATTTTTCATTTTTCCAACAGCAAAGATAAGTATTTTATATTTGTGCTCTATAGTTTACATTATTATCAAGATATTAGATAATGAGTATTGACATAGTGCATAGAAAAAAAGACAATACAACTTTGTTACCATTAAATTACTGTTTATGTGCCTGCGACATCACAAACAGTCCCATCAAAAAAATTATACAGGGCAATATGTTGATGTTATATAATAGTTTTTTCTAATGGCAATAAATTCTAATCGATGTTTTATTTTTAAACAGATCGTAAGATGTCAATTTATCAATCACATTTTGATCAATTCGATTAAAATCTTCTTTATTAAATATTTATTCTACACCAATTAATTTAGTAAGTTCACGATATTCTTTTATAGTAAATAATATTTGAATTGCGGTCATGTCGATCGACAAATATTACACGTCGTATTCGACTTTGATGAAGTGTATCAAATGCTGCACTAGTAAAATCTGTTTTAGCCAAATCAAGGAGGAAAGCGTAAGTTTGAAACTTCCAGCATCTATGTTTAAGTAAATTTTGTGGCAAATAACAATTAACTTGGACCATTGCGCCTACGATAGAAATGAGTATGGATGATGAAGATAGTGCAGAATTCTTCGAAACTATTGTAAGTGATTGTCAAATACGACAAGGTACAAAACAATGTAGGATGACATGAGTAAGCATGGAGAAAATATTAAAGGTACCCGTAGAATAAAATTCGTAGAATAATTTCTATAGAAATTTGTAATAGTTTACTTGTAAACATTCTTTCATAAGATTCAATACAGTAAATATTTTGAATAAACGCTCATTCTCAAATTCCTTAGTAAAATTCTTATGAATCTCTCACTTATGAGTATAAGGAATTAGAAAAAAATTTTATTCGTTTTATTTACAAAATTAATTATCAATAGAAATTAAAATTTTACAGTTAAATCCTCTAGAGAATTTGTATACAATTGAAAATTTAAACATCTAAATTTTATTTTATTTTATTTTTGTTATTCTTCAGTCTTATTTATGAACAACTTATCTATTGAAAATAACGAACTTTCATGTTGAACATGTCTTCTTTTCACACTGAATATATATTGATTTTTTTAAAATTTCGATCATAAGTCGTTCACTTGTATATTTGATTATTATCATATTTTTCTTTTTCATTAAAATACATACGTACGTGAAAGATTACTAAAGAGTGATTGAAAACTTTCGACTTTTCTCAGTAAATCAATAATATTTATGACAAAACTATATATAGTTAATTGGTCTAAATATATAATTTTGTAGAGAAAGATTAGAGCTATTATCTGAAAAAAAAGACATTTCGAAATGCATAGATTTAGTCCAATGTTTTGATGATGTTACTAATCTTGAGTGAATATTTTCATTTTACATTTTTGGAGAGAAATTTTTAATAAAAAAATCTAAATGATATTTATAAATTTATCAGACTAACTTTTTTGTATAAATATTAATAATCGAATTTTGTCATGTGTTGACCTTGTTTTCAACCTTTTTAGAATATTGTTAATCATTTTCTCACATTTTTTCTACAGTAAAACTTTGTTTGACATTTCCATATTTACTTAAATCTTGTCGAATAATATTCCATAAGTTTATGTTAGCCATGTTTCATCTATTTGGCTTCGAAATGCATACTTGGTTTTCTCTAACATATAATTGCCAGAAAGATAAATCTAAGTAATTAGCATATTAAAGAATAAATTGAAAACAGTAAACTTCATAAAATAAAACTGTCAATATGAAAGCTTTTAATTATTACAAAACTACAATCATAATCAGTAAATATGATGAATAATTATTATTCCATTAAAATGATAAGTCTTATATAAAATCCATGCGAGCAAAAGACATAAAAGTGTTATGAAGAAACTTTTTGTATATTTTTCTCTAAAAAGATAAAATGAAAATATTCACTTAAGATTAGTAAAATAATCATAACATTGGATTAAAACTAGGCATTTCGAAGTGTCTTTTTTTCAAATGATAATTCTAATCTTCCTCTACAGAATTATATATTTTGATCAATTAACTATATATAGTTTTGTTATAAATCTTATCGATTTACTGAGAGGATCGAAACTTTTGAATTATCTTTTAGTTCCATTTCAAAACATGGATTCCTCGGATGACACAGTGAAGATATAGCTATGCGTCCAGTGTAGACCTACACCAGTTATGAAGAAAATTTTCTGTAGATAGTAAGAGAATAAAACAAGATCTCGTTTTTTGTGATAGTGTGTTATACACTTATCAAAAATAGTGAACCTGAAAAGCTTTCGAGATCCTACTGGAATAAAATAATATACGAAGAATGTTTGACTTGGACCTTAGAACAGCCATGAATGATTAACTATGAAGCTAAACACCGTAAAAAAAATACTTTAGTATATACCAATATGCAGTTGTTTACACCACAAACAGGTAGAGTCCTACATTCATAATATTATTATCTTTCCTTTCAAGTCAATAATCATTGCCTTCGATTCACCTTTTCTGCTCATTGTATACATTAAAACGAAGAATATCTACCATATGCAAATGTCATAATTATGAAAAGT